CTGTGCTGGGAGAGAGGTTTATGGGAAGGCTGGAGGAGTATTTAAACTGGGATCGAGGGGGGAGGGAGAATTAGATTATAAGGGGGTAGACAGATCAGATAGGGGTCAGTACTGATTGGTGGGTGGAATGGGGAAAGATGGAGGGAAGGCTATGGCAGATGATAAGAAGGTTCCCATGTTACAAATAACCATTGGAATTGGTACCATTTGTATGAAGCTAAAAAATATGCAAAATACGTGTGAACAAGGTGTCAAGCGATTAAAGTGTTTGTTCACCAATGCCAGAAGTCTGTCAAGCAAAATAGGTGAGTTGGAAGCTTTGTTGCATGAAGAGAGCTATGATTTAATTGGTATTGCTGAATCTTGGCTTCATTCTTTGCATGACTAATATTCCTGGCTATGTTCTCTTTCAGAGAGACAGAATAAATAGGAAAGGTGGTGGTGTTTGTCTCTATGTGAGAAGTGATCTCAGAGCGAGTGTGAAGAGGACCTAGTTGATGAAGAGTGTGATGTGGCTGAAGTATTATGGGTGGAACTGCACATGGGGCTGCATACTACAAAGGTAATCATTGGAGTTTTTAATAAGCCTCCCAGTGTTAATGAGGAGGTGGAGACTCAGCTCCTTGCACAGATCCAAAGGGCTGCAAGGACTGGGACAGTGATAATAACTAACCGGAAATTGACTGGAGTAATGATACTGCAAGAACAGTTAAAGGGCAAAATTTTTAAACCTACTACAGGACAATTTTATGGTACAGTTCATAGAGGCCCCTACTAGGAATGATGCTCTGCTGGACCTGGTAATCTCAAACCATGCAGAGCTTATTACGAATGTCCATATAAAAGAGCATCTGGGTAGCAGTGACCATAACATGATTTAATTTATTGTTAGCTGTAAACAGCAAGCACATACGGGAAAAATAAAAATGCTCAATTTCAAGAAAGGTAATTTTCCAAGGCTGAGAGCTGCTCTCCAAGACTTAGACTGGGAGGGAATATTGGCATTGATGAACACAACACAGAAATGGGAGTTCTTCAAAAAGACTATGTGAACACACTGCAAAATATATTCCCATGGGCAACAAGTTTAAAAGGCTAAAAATCAAACCTATGTGGCTTACGGCCAAAGTTAAAAAGGCTATAGATAATAAGAAAAGAGCTTTTATTCAATGTAAAAATGAAGGAACACTATCATTGTTTAAACATTACAAAGAATATAACAGAATATGCAAAAAAGAAATAAAGGCCACAAAAATTGAAAATGAACGACAGAATGCAAAAGATAGCACGACCAACCCCCCAAAAATTCTTCAGATATGTTAATAGTAAAAAGGTTCGGTCCGAGCATGTGGGCCCTTTACAAAATAATCTAGAGTGGGTGACTGGGGACAAAGAGAAGGCAAATTTATTTAATACCTTCTTCAGCTCTATGTATACAAAGGAGTATGGGGGAGCTCTTGTTCATAATGGGCATGGTATTGACACAGCTTCAGATAATCCACATTGGCTCACAATTGATATGATCCAAAAATATTTAGACAGTATAAAGGTGAATAAAGCACCTGGACCGAATGGCATACACCCACGGGTACTTAAAGAATTGAGCTCTGTCATTTCAAAGCCATCGTTTCTAATTTTAGGGACTCTTTAATGACTGGCATAGTGCCACTGGATTGACGTAAGGCCAATGTCATGTCAATATTTAAAAAGGGGTCAAAATCTTTAGTAAGTAATTATATACCTCTTAGTTTAACTGCTATAGTTGGGAAGATACTGGAGAGTTTAATAAAAGAACACATAGATGAGTTCTTGCTAGAAAAAAATATTTTAAGCAACAGACAGCACGGATTCATGAAAGACAGAAGATGTCAAACAAATCTGATTTCTTTTTATGAGGAGGTGAGCAAAACCTTGGACAGAGGGGTGGAGGTGGACGTGGTATACTTAGATTTTGCAAAAGCGTTTGACACAGTTCCCCACACATGGCTAATGTGTAAGGTAAAGTCTACGGGCTTGGAAAAATCCTTATGTAAATGGATAGAAAACTGGCTAAAAGATCGTATTCAGAGAGTAGTGGTTAATGATTCATACTCTGAAGGTCTGGGGTCATCAGTGGTGTACCCCAGGGTTCAGTGTTGGAACTCTTACATTTTAATATATTTATAAACGATATAGAGTCTGAGATAAAAAATCCCATTTCAGTCTTTGCAGATGACACCAAGCTGTGCAGTGGAATAACGTCCTTACAGGATGTCTTCAATTTACAAGCCGATCTCAATGCACTGTTTATTTGGGCAACTATGTGGCAAATGAGATTTAATGTTGATAAATGTAAGGTTATGCACTTGGGGGTTAAGAATATGCATGTATCATACATTCTAGGGGGGGTACAACTGGAGGAATCAATGGTGGAGAAGGATCTGGGGGTTCTGGAAGATCACAAGCTTAATAATGGTATGCAATGCCAAGCTGCAGTTTCTAAAGCAAAATCTTCTCTTGTATTAAAAGAGGTATAGACTCCAGAGAGAGAGAGATCATATTACCCCTATACAAATCATCAGTAACACCCCATCTGGAATATGCAGTTCAGTTTTGGGTACCGATGAACAAAAAGAACATTGGGAAACTTGAGAAAGTACAGAGAAGGGCAACTAAACTGATAAGAGGCATGGAGGAGCTCAGCTATGAGGAAAGATTAGAGGAACTGAATTTATTCTCGCTTGAGAAGAGGAGATTAAGGGGGGATATGATCAACATGTATAAAATACATCAGTGGTTCATATAGTGAACTCGGTGTAGAGCTATTCACCCTGAGGTCAACACAGAGGACAAGGCAGCACTCTTTACGTCTGGAGGAAAATAAATTTAATCTCCAAACACAGAAAGGTTTCTTCACAGTGAGAGCTGTGAAAATGTGGAATAGACTCTCTCAAGAGTTGGTTCTGGCCAGCTCAGTGGATTGCTTCAAAAAAGGCCTGGACTGTTTCTTAGATACACAGAATATAACTGGATACTAACATTTATAGGTAAAGTTGATCCAGGGAATATCCAATTGCCTCTCGGGGGATCAGGAAGGAATTTTTTTTTTTTCTATGGTTGAACTGGATGGACTTTTGTCTTTTTTTTTCAGCCGGACTAACTATGTATCTATGTAATTATGAGACTGTGATAGTGCAGGGGACAATCTGACACTAACTGACACTTTGTGGGAGGTGGCTGACGATGACATCACCAGTGTCACTAATACAGTGGTCAGTGCTAATGCTGTAAACCGTTGCTGTACTAATGACACTGGCTGGGAAAAAAGGTTAATGTCTCGGGGTAATCACGAGGTTAAGTGTGTGCTTAACAAGTGTTAATGTGTGTAATATACGCTGCTTTTTACTAAAGATTGCTTTGTTTCTTCTGCCTGCTTTACAGGCAAAAGAAACACAGAGATTGTTCCCTCTGTACAAAGCCCTTTGTTGTTTGTCAACACAGGGCTCTGGGCGGTGATTGGACACAACTAATCAGCAGGTTACGGTCATGAATCATTGGACGGGACCTGCTGACTAAAACCCACTATATTCAACCACAGCAGAGTCCATGAACAGGGCGCGTATGCATGACCTGAACCCCGGAAGAAAGCCGAGACGTACAGGTACATTACTGTGCCTGTACAAGCGGACTGTCCACAGTAAATGTACTGCAACAGGTCGGCAAGTGGTTAAACAAGCAATAAAAACATCATCAATTTCTGACAGCCAAGCAAGTCGCAGCAAACATATTTCATGAAGTTAAGATCTATTTAAATGTGTTTATGGTAAACAAAAACCTTGCTGAAACCTGACAGCTGATATCCCACTCCCCTGGGCTTACTCCCTGATATACCATTGTTTATTTTTTATTCTTACTTCTTATTTACACATTTTATTCCCCCCATCACTGTTAAAATACAATAGGTGTCGGGGGAGTGCCTGTTTGGACAGTAAAATTGTCCCTGATCTATCATAACAGGCATAGAGTCTGACTGATCAGGGCTTCTGAGTGGGACCAGTGCTGCAAAGCGCAGTGTGTAGGAGGACACTTTGGAAATGGATGTCCAGTCCTGTCTGTCCTAAAGGCACCCTAAACCAACATGATGTCTGATGAATAAGAGTTGGAGACTGTCAAGAGACAAAGGCAGTCTCTGTGTGAACAGACAAGTAAAGCTGCCTAGCATACACTAACTTTATTTTAAGAACGTTCATTTGATTTTATAACCATTAGTGGGGTCAAACTGGCATTTGTTTTCTACTGCAGTGATCATTCCAAAGAGGAGGATGGAAAATATTTTGCAATGGAATAAATTAACAATGAATGCTGTTTGATGTTTCCTATTCACTAAAGGGACAGGCTATTTGCCCTCTTATGGTGGCCAAACATGTTTCAATATATCCAATCTGCAATTCGATTAAAACAGCAGTATCTGCAAAAAATCCCTTCAGACTGATTTAAACTTGCTTCAATTAAACTCAGTGAATTGGCCAGGGTGGAAAATTATTGATTGCAGCACTGAGATACTTTGTTCATGAATACGATCCTATTTTGAATGATCGGACTATGAGATTACATGTTGGAAATAAAGATATTATACCTATTACTTATATAAATAAATTACAATCGCATGTTAACTTTCAGTCGAAATACACTGTCCCATACATAGTATAGCGGTCGAATGGGTTGTCAACTACGGATTGATTATTCTGAACAGAAGAGGTCAATCGGAAAAGCAATCAATAATTTATCAAAGTGTATATGTCCACCATTAACGATACAACAAGAAATTAGAGAAAATCTCTAAAATGTGAGGGAAATTCTGTTCTAAGACAGCTATCACAAGAACATATCTCTCCATTGAGAGATTTCTCCTCGAATTCTGTTCTGGTGACAGCTCTAAAATTAGGGAGGTGCTCACTACTTTGCCGACACAGACATCAATTTCAGGTAGTTCTTACTACCGCTATTTTAAGAATCTATTTTCTCCCAAGAAAAAAAAAAACCTCTTCAGCAAAACTCACCAAACTGAGCATGTGCAGAGTGTCTCCACACAATATGTCTTATCAGGAGATAAGAGGGGGCACTGAAAGAAGGGGAGGATCAGAGAAGTCAGGATCAAAAAGCGTTTTTTCACAATGCAGAGGATAAACTCCTTAGGTTCCACAGTGAGTATAACAAACACACTTTACTGCATATACAGACTGATTTTACTGTTGTGGGTTTAGTAACACTTTAAGAAACACATTTTTTCATATACAATATACACTATATTGCCAAAAGTGTTGGGACACCTGCTTTTACATGCATGCCTTCCTTTACATGAACTTTAATGACATCCCAGTCTTAGTCTGTAGGGTTCAATATTAAGGTGGCCCACCCTTTGCAGCTATAACAGGTTACAATGTGAGTGTGTCTATGGAAATGTTTGACCATTCTTCCAGATGCATATTTGTGAGGTCAGGCACTGATGTCGGATGAGAAGGCCTGGCTCACAGTCTCCGCTCTCATTCATCCCTAAGGTGTTCTATCAGGTTGAGTACAGGTCAGTCAAGTTCCTCCCCCAAAAACTTGCTCATCCATGTCTTTATGATCCTTGCTTTGTGTACTGGTGCGAAGTCATGTTTGGCCATCCCCAAACTGTTCCCACAAAGTTGGGAGCATGAAATTGTCCAAAATGTCTTGGTATGTTGACGCCTTAAGAGTTCCCTTCACTGGAAATAAGGGGTTCCCTGAAAAACAACCCAATACCATAATCCCCACCAAACTTTACACTTGACACAATGCAGTCAGGCAAGTATCATTTACCTGGCAACCACCAAACCCATACATGTCCATCAGATTGCCAGACAGAGAAGTGTGATTCATCACTTCCGAGAACACGTCCCCACTGTTCTAGGGTCCAGTGTCAGAGTGCTTTACACCACTGCATCCGAAGCTTTGCATTGAACTTGGTGATTTAAGACTTGGATGCAGCTGTTCGGCCATGGGAACCTATTCCATGAAGCTCTCTATGCACTGTTGTTGTGCTAATCTGAAGGCCACATGAACTTTGGAGGTCTTTAGCTATCGACTCTGTAGACAGTTGGCTACTTCTGCACACCATGCGCTTTGGCATGCGCTGACCCCGCTCTGTCATTTTATGTGGTCTACCACTGCATGGCTGAGTTGCTGTTGTTCCTAGTTGCTTCCACTTTGTTATAATACCACTAACAGTTGACCATGGGATATTTAGTAGCAAGGAAATGTCACGTATGGACTTATTGCACAGATGGCAACCTATCACAGTACCATGCTTGAATTCACTGAGATCCTGAGAGCTATCCTTTCCTTCACAAATGTTTGTAGAAGCAGTCTGCATGCCCAGGTGCATGATTTTATACACCTATGACCATAGGGGTGAACGGAACACCTAAATCCAATGATTTGGAGGGGTGTCCAAATACTTTTGGTAATATTGTATATGTGACTTATATGCAGTGCACAAATTATGAGAGTGTCCCAATATGAAAAAAAAACCCCATAAATAATCAAAAAAAAAGGTGAAAAAGCATTAGCAAATTCACAAATGTAAAGACTGAAGATGAAAGTATCCTGAAGACAACCGAGAAGGCATCCACCAGATAACACCATGCAGGCTTACCAGATAGCCATGACCCTCTGATTAAAGAAAGGTCAGAGAACGCATCAGCATAATAGGGAGTATCCTCAGAAGATGTGCTCCAATCAGCATATACCTCAGCACTGGAAATTCCTTGATTACTCATCCATCCCTCAGATTCATACGAAGTATAGAAGCAGAAAGGCCAACATAGTGTAGAACCATCAGAGAAATATTTTATTGAAAACAGTAAAACACTCACATTTAAAAAATTTGCAATTGCATTTGTACATAAACGATCCAGCTGGTAAAGAAGATGACCTCCCACAGACTTCCGTTTACGCAATGATGTCACTTCAGGCTCCGCCCTACGCTTTTTTCTTCATACCTGGCACCTTCCAAATTTGGTCACCTTAATTACATTTGGTCACTGTATTTATGATTTATAGTGCATCCAGAAAGTATTCACAGTGCTTAACTTTTGCCACATTATTACAGCCTTATTCCAAAATGGATTAAATTCATTTTTTTCCCTCAACATTCTACAAACAATGAAGTGATAATTACAAAACAAGACACAACCCAAAACCCTTGTGCTGAATGCATGCTTACTACAATAGTTAGACAATTAGCAAATAATAATCACTGCTGCCCCTTAAAATAAGAGCCTGCGGGCTGCTTTGTTATAGACTTTGTTATAGGAGGGGCGGGAGCAGTGTGATCCGGCCGGCAGGTGTGGTGTGAGCAGCCTGTGTACAGGGGTTCAACATATTCTTCCTCCTTCATTGGCTAGCTCGGGATGATGTAACTCTCATATAGGCACAGCACCGAGGCATGTGAAATGTGTACAATGAGTTGTGCATATGCAGTTCAGTGTAGATTCTAAAGAAGTTTGCAAGCTGGTGGAGAGGAGTAAGGAGATTTATGGAGATTCTGAAGTTTACATACTGACACCATACTTGGAAATTTCACAAGTGACCATGAGAATGGAAGGCATGTGGGTCTGGTGAGTGCATACCCAAAAAGGATGGAGTTTTTATGAGCACGTGGTGATTTTGGTTTGGGAATATCAGAAGATTGTAACACTGAAAGTGACATCTACTTGTTATGATGGACTTTATTTTCACATCAATTGTTTGATTTTCATCACATGTTTGAGTTTCACTATATATTTTTTCATCATTGAAAAATGTGTTTCACTTAACACTTAACAGCTGATCAGAGTGCCACTGTAATATTTATATATATATATCTTTGTTTATTCTACAAACAATACCCCAAAAAGAAGTTAGTTTTGAAATCTTTGCAATTCATTAAAAATAAAAAATGAAAAAAAAATCACATGTACATAGGTATTCACAGCCTTTGCTCAATACTTTGTTGAAGCACCTTTAGCACCAATTACAGCCTCAATTTGTTTTGAGTATGATGCTATAAGCTTGGCACACCTATTTTTGGGCAATTTCTCCAATTTTTCTTTGCAGTACCTCTCAAGCTCCATCAGGTTGGATGGGGAGCGTTGGTGTACAGACATTTTCAGATCTCTCCAGAGATGTTCAATTGGGTTCAAGCCTGGGCTCTGGCTGGGCCACTCCAGGACATTCACAGAGTTTGCCCATAGCCACTCCTTTGTTATATGTGCTTAGGGTTGTTGTCCTGTTGAAAGATGAACCGTCACCCCAATCTAAGGTCCAGAGCACTCTGGAACAGGTTTTCAACAAGGATGTCTCTGTACATTGCTGTATTAATCTTTCCTTTGATCCTGACTAGTCTCCCAGTTTGTGACATTGAAAAACATCCCCACAGCATGATGCTGCCACCACCATGCTTCACTGTAGGGATGGTATTAGCCAGGTGGTGAGCAGTACCTGGTTTACTCCAGACATGATGCTTGGCATTCAGGCCAAAGAGTTCAATCTTTGTTTCATCAGACCAGAGAGTATTGTTTCTCATGGTGCCTCAGGTGCCTTTTGGCAAAGTCCATGTGGGCTGCCATTTGCCTTGAAAGACTGGAGCTCTTTCAGAGTGTTCATAGGGTGCATGGTTACCTCCCGGGCTAAGGCCTTTCTCCCTCGATTGCTCATTTTGGCAGGGCAGCCTGCTTTAGGAAGCTTCCTAGTGGTTCCAAACTTCTTCTATTTATGGATGATGGAGGCCACTGTGCTCATTGGGACCTTCAGTGGTGCAGAACTTTTTCTGTACCGTTCCCCAGATCTGTGCCTTGATACAATCCTGTCTCGGAGGTCTACGGACAATTCCTTGAACTTCATGGCTTGGTTTGTGTTCTGACATGCACTGTTAACTGTGAGACCTTATATAGACAGGTTTAAACCTTTCCTAATCATGTCCAGTCAACTGAATTTCCCACAGGTGGACTCCAATCAAGTTGTGGAAACATCTCAAGGATGATCAGTGGGAACAGGATGCACCAGAGATCAATTTTGAGTGTCATGGCAAAGGTTGTGAATACTTATGTACATGTGTTTTATTTCGATTTTTATTTTTAATAAATTGCAAAGATTTCAATATGAACTTCTTTCATGCTGTCATTATGGGGTATTGTTTATAGAATGTTGAGGAAAAAAAATGAATTTAATCCATTTTGGAATAAGGCTGTAACATAACAAAATGTTGCAAAAGTTAAGCGCTGTGAATACTTTCTGAATGCACTGTATATAGATATTGGAATTAGCACAGCATGTTTTTACAATTTGAGAATCTGTTGCTATGGCAGTAACAAATTCTTAAATAATTACCAACAGTTGTCCATTTAGGAAACTGGTGGTAATTAAGACCAACTCTGAGCTGGTGTACAGACAGAAGGCAGTGCTTGTTGTGGGATGTTGCCCTGTATGTGTCAGCTTACCACACTGTGCAAAGTCCCAGGCACAATTCAGCTGTTGGGCAGGAAATTCCATGACTGAATGGTGTTGGAAGGTGTACTGAGGAGAAGATAAGGCTAGACCTTTGCAAGGAGCAGCAAGCTCCGAAGCGCGTAGCCTTGTCTTCTCCTCGGTACACTGTCTTTTCCCCTCCTTGACGGCACGGCGGCTTTCCGGTTTTGGCTGCAGCATTCTGGGACTCCTCTACCATCCACAGCAGTTTCACCCACGGTCAGGTAGACCCCTGCAGGTTGCAGATTACAGCAGCTAATCTTGGCTGTTCTTCACAACACATCAGATGGGCGTTCTAACCCTTTATATTCTGTGAGTGTTTTTAACTGTGGCTAAATACTGTAAATTCTAATTGGTATACTGCACTTAGAAGGCACCTCTCTCCCCTCTCTTTTCTCCCTTTTACTTCTATAGAGTTGGCATACTCTGGGACGCCTTCCATCTGTGTGTTATAACTTGTCATGGACATGTATGGACATATTATGGACTTTACTATGTACCATGGCCTGCTTCAAGGGTCATAAGCCTTTAGTGCGCTAAATGTGCGTGTGTATATACAGTATATATATATATATATATATATATATATTGTGCCAGTATGAACGGCAAAGTGTTGGATGGACGATATGTGTCACCTCGCATGAGGTCATACTGTGAGGTGTAAGGTGGAGTCCACTTCGGGTTTTTGGGGTCACAATGG